GGGAAAGTTCAGAGAGACATTTTTTTTAATAGGACTTTGGTACTCATTAAAGAAAGAACATTTCTTCCGAAGGTTTAGCAGTGGTAGACATTTGAATGATACTTTGTAGTCCGGCAAACTGTTTGCCTCTTACTACAACCCAAAGTAGGAAAGGCCGGCAGCATTGCCACAGCCTGGTAATGAAGACACGGCTGAGGTAGTCGCCCAGCTCCCTGAGGAGCTAGTGTTTATGCTTCTGTTCTGAGGACAGAACATTCCATAGCATTCCATAGCACAGCTTCATCTTCCTGGGAGTGTGAAGATTTAGAAATACAATTAGGATGCTGTTGCTGTGTTAAAATGGAAGTGTGTACACTCAAAAGGATGATTTCGTAGGAAGTAATTATCTTGGAGATGTATGCTGATTCACATCTATGCTTCCCTTTCCCAAAGAAATGCAGTATTAACATTTTACACTTGGGGCCAGCAGGTGATATGCTGATTAAGGCACTAGTTTCTCACATGTCTGACTGTGGTTCAAATCCTGGACCTGGCTGCTTGAAAGTCATGCCAGGTGCATGTGTGTACATGCCCAGAAACCCAGGAGGAGGATGGAGAAGGATTGCAGTGTGCCCATCCCCTCTTGGGGGCAATTTCTTACTTTCCCTCTCCCTGACTTTCTCTATCTGTCTCTGGTGAGCACATGTGCCTTATGGGGGCTGGAGGGGGGGATTTACACTTATTCCAGAACTATTATGTAAGCCACAGTAGAAAATTTGTCAGATTTTTCTATAGTTAAATGTGTTTTTGACCAAATGTGGCATTATCCACTGAGGCGTATTCTTTCACCATCATTCTTCTCTGTGGATGCTTTCTGCAAAACATTGCCAGTGTTGATATCCCAGCAACAGTAAAGGAATGAAACTCCATAAGCAATTTTGCACAATGGGCCTATCATTAGAGTAGGTGTGTAGCCCTCCCCAGGGGCCAGTTGAAACAGACTTTTTGGAGGCATTATTTCTGCTGTGTTTATTTAAAAGGGATTTGAATAATTTTAAATCTGTCCCTTGTTGAAGAAAATCTATGATAGGTATCTACCCAAGTCTGACTCAGAGGAACAATGAAAGCTCTGAAGTATTTTTTTTAATGTGCAAGTGCAAGATCATGTATTTAAAAATAATTAAAACACAAATGCAAATATAAGGCAGGTGGAAATTGATATGCTTAAGTATCACTTAAGTGAGATTTGATTCTATAATCCTTGAACCCATTTCCAGGCATCAAAATGAACAGACACCGAAGATGTGTTCACGGACAGGGAAACAACTCCTGGAATGAACCTGAGATAATTCTTTAATATCTTTGTGATGAATTAACTCATTTCTCAGATCTATTAATTATCTTTTCTCATTCCCCCATGTTAAGCAGTAATGACCGAAACAGATCCAACTATATGGTGTGCAGGGAAGATCTTTGGGGAGAAGTAGTCCAGAAAACGCTGCTAGTAAGCAGTCTGGATCATTCAACTTCCCATCATGCCATCGTGGTTTTGTACATTCAGCTTATCAGAGTCTTCGTCTGTAACTCCCTTTATCAGCAGAACTAAATCCTATATCCTTGTCTCATGTTTTTATTCATGGCCCCCTCACCCACCTTCCCTTCTTTCCTACGTTTTTCCTCTGCATTTTAAAGATGTGTCCTTGAATTCTCAGCACAGCAGCCAGAGTGATCTTTCAAACTACCTCATATTGTGCCACTGTGCCTCTTGGAACCTTGGTGGTCTCTCCTATCATGCAAAGTAAAAGCCCATGTCTCGTCTTGTAGGTTCAGTGACCGGCAGTGCCCTGCAGCCTGTAAGTCCCAATACCGTTGCCTCTGGCTGCCCTTCCTCCGTGTTCACTGAGTTCTAGCTCCTCTGTCCTGTCCTGGAACAAACCTGACAGGCACTGGCCTCAGTGCCCAGTGCCCTGTACCTGCTCTTCCTTCTGGCTGCAAGTGCTGTATCCCGGACACCCACGTGACTCCTTTCCTCCTGTCCTCCAGGTCTCTACTCAAATCGACCTTTTCACTGGGGCTTAAACTGTGCCTCTTCCATGTACAGGCCCCATGTGTTCAATCCTTCAGGCTGGCTTTATTTTTCACTCTTGTGCTTATACTTACTTGAGAAACATATTTTGCCTGGTTGTCTTTCGTATTATCTCTCTCTCTCTCTGACAAAATATAAGGTTTTTTGTTTTTTTGTTTTTGTTTTTGTTTTTGCTACAGGGCACATGTATTCATGAGAGATACAGAGAGAGAGAGTGAGAAATCACCTCCCAGTGGGGGGATAGCCACATCACAATCTCTTCTCCTCCATTCTCCTCTCGGGATTTTGAGCACACGTGCATACATACCCAGAGTGTGTTTCAAGTCGCCAGGTCTGGGACTCGAACTGCTCACTTGGCCATGTGGGATCTAGCTGCTGTAACCACCACACCACTGACTGGTCCCGATAAAATGTAAGCTTTTTTTTTTGGAATAATTTGTGTGTGTGTGGCAAACTTTGGTTTATGTTTAGGATTACAGTATTTTTATTTTTTGAGTAATTGACAAACTTATGAACATGTTCCAATTGTTCAAAGGGATATGGAGCAAAATGTCACATCCCTTCTTCCCCAGATACTCAGTCTCCTCCCTGAAGACAACCGCAGCTCTTGGTTTTTGGGTGACCTTCCACAGATGTTCTATACACTTGCATGGATAAGTGTGTACGTGCGTGCACGTGTGTGTACATAGTGGGAACATTCTCTGTGTACCATACCGCCCTATGCATCTGTCACTTAGCAACGTTTTTGAGATCACCTCGTATCAACACATAGACCCACCTCATTCTTTCGATGTCATTGTAATCTTCCAAAGTGTGAATACTGATCATTTATTTAACGCTCCCCCTCCACCATGAGCACACAGGTTATTCAGTCTTTTGCTCCGATAACTGACCATCCCGTGCTTCAGTGACTAGACTTACCCATTTCTCTTTGCATCTATATACACCTTTACCTGTGGGATAAATTGCCAAAAGTAGAAATTCTCAGTAAAGCTATTCTCAGTAAATATTTTATTATTTTTATAGATTTCACATCATTGCTGTCTGAGCACGCTACACTTAGTTTGATCCCCCCCCAGTCAGTTTTTATTGTTAATTTTAAGCACGATATTATATGGCCTATCTTTAGAACTTTTTCATCTTACGTAACTGAAACTTTAGAGATACCAAACAGCACATCTCCATTCCGCCGCCTCACCCCGGGCGCTCGCAGTCAGCGTTCTAGTTTCTGTTTAGGACTTTGGCTCCTCTGGGTTCCTTATATAAATGGGATCATGTAGTATTTACCCTCCTGTGGATTGGCTTATGTCACTTGGCTTCATGCCTTCCAGATTCATCCACGTTGTGCCATGTGTCAGGATTTTATTCTTTTTTGAGGCTGAATAATACATTCTATTGTATGTCTGTACTATTAATAGATTTTATTTATCTATTCATTCATTCACTTATGTGTTTCCATATCTTTTTTCTTGTTTTTTTTTTTTTTTTTTTTTTTTTTTTTTTCCCTAGGCCATATGTGCAAGAGAGGGAAAGTGAGAAATCACCCCCAAAGGGGATGGCCATGCCACAATCCCTTCTCCTCTGTTCTCTCAGGATTTGGGGCATGTGTGCACATGTGCCCAGAATGGTTTTCAAGCAGTCAGGTCTATGACTCAAACCATGCTGTGGGCTATCTGAAAGTCCAGTGCTTTAACCACCGTGCCACCTGCTGGTCCACTTTTTCCTTTTTTTTTTTTTTTTTTAATTTTCTACAGGGTGTGTGTACTTGCAGGACAGAGAGAGAAAAAGAGAGAGACAGAGATAAACAGAAAGAGAGAAACAGAGATAAACAGAAAGAGAGAAACAGAGATAAACAGAAAGAGAGAAAGTACCCCTGGGGGGATGGCTACGCTGCAGTCCCTTCTCCTCCATCTCTCTAGGCGTGTTTTTTTAAACCCCTAGATTTAGGCAAGCCGAGCAGTTGGCCACATGGGATCCAGTTCCCCCCGCCACCTTGCCACCACCTGGCTGTTTCCACATCCCGACTGCTGTGAATAACGCTGCAATGAGCCTGAGAGTGCTGGTGCCTTTTGTGAGATCCCGATTTCAGTTCTTTGGGATAAATACCCAGACGTGAGATCGTTGGGTTAGTAGGGTAGTTCTTTTTACATTTTTTGAGGATCCCCCATACATGTTTCCACAGCTACTACACCATTTTCCATTTCCACCACAGTGGTTCCAATTTGTCTACATCTTCATCAGAATTCATTATTAATTTGTTTTTTATAATGGCCATCTTAACAGGGATGAGGTAGTTATTCCCTGTAGTTTTTGTTTGTATTTTCCTAATAATTAGTGATACTGAGCATTTTTTCATATACTCTTTGGCTGTTTATATATCTTCTTTAGACAGATGTTTGTTCTTGGTTAGGGCAGGAGTTTTTGTCTGTGTTGCCCCTGCTGTACTTTAAGTATTGAGAACTGCCTAGGAAATAGTAAGTGCTCAACACATATTGAATGCCTGAGTGTAATGAATGAGCAAGAGAACACATTGCATTAACATTTCTTCAACATTGCTGTCTTGAGACCATTTGAATTCCTTATTTTTGTGTGGGGATATTCCCAGCCTAGCTTTGAGGGGCAATTCCTGCTCCTACAGGTTCTGGTTCTATTCTTCACAATTCACCTCCTTGCTATTCCATCCAGCTCTCCAAATTATGTGTTCTGTAACTTGAGAGTATTAGATCTTATTAGATCTCAATACCTTTATTTGTTCACATAAATAATTATATTGCAGTGCCCCCATCTTATTCATGGGGGAATATCGTGACTATCATAAGTTTAATTTACAAATTAGGCATAGTGAAAACAGCAACAATAATAAAATAAAGCAATTATAACAATAGGCTATATGTGAATGTGGTCTCTCTCTCCTTTCTCTCACCCAAAATGCCACACTGCGGGTAACTGCAACCGTGCAGAATGAAACCATGGATGATGAGGAGCTTCTGTACTTTTCCACTCTGTTAGCTCCTCTCTGTTTCCAAAGTCCACCTTTACCATTTCCCTGGGAAACTTCAGTAACGTAGGATCCTCCAACATATGTGTCCATCGTCCACAAGCTTCTGGAAGTGGAGGGACCAGCTTCAAACTCCTTGACTCCTGCAGTACCTCATACAAACATGTAAAGGGACTCATTGTATGGTCTTTTTAAAAATTAGTATAATTTTTCTTTGAAATAGAACTTTTTTTACAAAGTAGTTGTAGGTTCATAGAATAATTGAGCAGAAAGTTCAGAGTCCTAACTACTCCTCTGGATCCCCAACCCTGTCCCACTACCACCGTCCTGCATCAGTGTGGTGTATTTGTTATAATCAATCAACTGGCAGTGGCACAATATAATCACCCAAAGCCCACGCTGTTCACACTCACAGTAAACGTAATGTAAACTATTGTATGGGTTTGAACAAATGCCTAGTGACCTGTGTATACCATTGTGATATCATGGAATGGTTGCATTGTCCTGAGAAATCCTTTGGGGGTTGTCAAGTGACATGGTGGTTAAAGGTGCTCTATGCCCACATGGCTGACCACAGTTCAAGTCCCAGACCTGGTGGCTTGCTTTCTTACTTTCCCTTTCTCTCTCTGTCTCTGGTCAAATTAAAGAATAATAATAACAAATGGAATTAAGTAAATAAATCATTCTTTAAAAATAAAACCCTCTGTGCTCCACCTATTCCTCCCTCCCTCCCCTTCCCCCTGTCAATCACCAGACTTTTTTTTTTTTTCTTTTTTTGGAGAGGTTTTTTTTTTTTTTTCCCCCACTATAGGTAGGGCATGTGCGTTCGCCAGACAGACAGAGAGAGACATAGAGACAGAAAGCGAGAAATCACCCCCCAGGGGGGGATGGTCATGCCGCAATCCCTTCTCCTCCATTCTCCTCTCGGGATCTTGGGCACACATACACATGCACCCGGCGTGAGTTTTAAGCCACTGGGTCCGGGACGCGAACCGCAGTCTACTACGTAGGAGTCCAGCGACATAACCATTACGCTAACTGCTGTTTCCCAATCACCAGACTTTTTACTGTCTCCATAGTTGTGCCTTTTCCAGATGTCACATAGCTAAAATTAGACAGTATGTATTCTTTTCAGATTGAAAAAATTTTAGTAATAATGGGATCAGCAGAGGGCATAGTGGTTACGTGGTTGGACTCCCACATAGTTGACCATGGATCAAGTGCCAGACCCAGTGGCTTAAAACTCATGCCAAGTGCCTGTGCGTGTGTGCCCAAAATCCCGAGGAGAATGGAAGAGAAGGGATTTCAGCATGGCCATCCCCCTGGGGAATGATTTATTGCTTTTTGTCGCTCTCTCTGGTGAGTGTACGCACCCTACAACAAAAATCTCTGAAAAAAACCCACAACTTAGTAATAATATGATGCCATTTTGAATTGTCTTGGCTCTATGAAGTTTGATATTTTTGTCTTTGTCTTAAGAGACTCACTTGTAGATGAGGGACCAAAACATGAACTGAATAAGTAGCTGAACAATGAATGTCGCCTTAATTCTTCCTGATATTTAGGGAGTTAAGTGAACATATTTCCTTCCTGCTGTTTTTTACTCCTCTTTGTCTTTAAGCTTGCCATGAAGTGGATGATTCATCTGTTGTTGGATTAAAGTATTTGCTCCTTGGTGCCATACACAAATGTCTAGGAAACTCAGAAGATGCTGTTCAGGTAAAATGTTAATGCTATTGTGGCTAAAGGAAATTAATTGTGAACACTTGTATATATGCTTGTGAATATGAAGAATTAAAAAACATTAAACAAAACCTCCCACTGCAATAAGAACTTTATTTTATTTATTTTTTAAAAGAATTATTTATTTATTTAATTTTATTTGGTATTATTTATTTTTCAATTTGACCGGACAGAGACACACACAGAGAGAAAGGGAAAGTAAGAAAGCAAGTCACCAGGTCTGGGACTCAAACTGTGGTTGGACATGTGGAAGTCCAGTGCCTTAACCACCATGCCACCTGTGGCCCCCCCTTATCTACTTTATTTGCCATCTTCTCAGATGGTAGAAGCTAATGATGGTGAATACTAGTTTTTGACGTAACTTCAATCCTTGGAATATTTCTTTTTATATGGGTTCTTTTTCTGGCACCAGCTATTTATCAAGGATGACCATCTCAACCGGAGAAAGGAGGAGTGGAGGAGGAAGATAATTTTGAAGGAGCAGAGTGAAGCCTCATAGACAAAAACATAAGTGATCAAACATGTCAGCATGTGTTCACTTTTCCACTCTTTTTTAAAAAATTATTTTTAATTACCAGAGGGTACATGTGCTTATCAGAGAGAGATGGAGAGAAAGAATGAGAGAAAGCACCCCACGGGTGGGGTGTGGTCATGCTGCAATCCCTTTTCCTCTGTTTCTCCATCCTGTTGGGATTCGAGGCACCCATGTACACTTGCCCAGTGTGTTTTTCAAGGCACTGGGGCCAGAATTCAAACTGTGATTGGCCATGTGAAATCTGGCTCTCACAACCACTCAGCTATGGGGTCAGTTCCAGTTATCTTTATAACTGCAGATTACTGTTGCAATGTTGGAGGTGGGGTCTAGGAAGTTGTTGGTGTAGGACAGTATATGTACACGTATTTTCAAACGCAGTTGGAGGGAGTTTTCTGAGTGTTTTGTCTGGTTGGTTTTTTTGAGAAACTATTACTGTGTTACTTAAACTGCTTTCTGAAAAAGCTCACATACAGTAATAGACTTTTAGCATTTAAATCCTAGAATGTTAATGCACTTCCACTGTAGTTTTAAATCAACCTTTCAGTGAGGGCTTCCGGTTGTTACTACACAGCTTATTTTGTAACAGATGCTTAAGTGCCTGCAAGATGCAGTCAAGAGATGATGCTTAGATTGTGTGTTTTCTGTTCTAAGTATTAAAATAAATATGTTTAAGATTTATTGTTAAAGAATTATTTTATTTAACTTTATTTATTACTGTTATTATTTTCCCAGTTCGATCAGAAAGAGATAGAGAGAGGGAAAGTGAGAAAGCAAGCCACCAGGCCTAGGACCTGAACCTCAATTGGCCATGTGGGAGTCCAGAGCCTTTAACTACCACACCACCTGTCAGCCCCAGGATGTCTAAGATTTTTAAACATAAATAAAGATATTCTCAGGAATAAAGTCAGTAGAGTCTGTTTGTCAGCTGGAAAATAAGTAGCACAAAGAAGGCCGGCTGATGGATAGCATATTCTAGAGGAAGCTCACCAGCCAAGAGTGTAAAGGACTTTTGAGATATGAATGAAGATGAATGGGAAGGAATAAAGATGAGGAGAAAGAGAAAATCTGATCTGGGAAACAAGCAAAATGACTCCTCTTTCCTGTCTCATGACGATCATGATGAGCCTATGTTAAGTAGGAAAATAAATTCATTTCACTATATTACTTTCAGTTCTTCCAGCGAGCTGTTAAAGATGAGTTGTGTCGTCAGAATAACTTATATGTTCAGCCGTATGCTTGTTATGAACTTGGCTGTCTTCTATTAGACAAACCAGAGGTAAGATCTTAGATAAACGCATATGAGTTCATTAACAAAAAACGAGTAGGCACAAAGCTGTCTCTGTTTAAAATAAATTGTTCGAACACAGTGTTCTTCCTTTTCTTTTCCTTCACTTCACATAGATTGAGTGCAGGAAGCTAGTAATCTCATCTTACTAGCTTTAAGAAGGTAATTTCTTCTCTGAAATTTGAAATCTAAATGTAACTATTTGGACAAGGATTCATTTGAGGGAAAATCTTTACTTTTTTCACATTGGTATGATATAATGCAGTGTGGTTTATTCGTAAGAACAGAGTTGTGTTAGGGTTTCAGCTCTGCCATTTATTTTAGTGTATCACTGGTTAAGTTACTTATCCACATACCTTCTTTTTAATCTGTAAAACAGGATACAAAAAAATAAATAAATAAATAAAAATAAAAACCTGCCTTGACAATTTAATAAAGAGTATAGTGAGAATGAAGAAGGTGATGTGCACTATTACTCTAAAAATTTTAGGATATCATATAAATTTAATTCGATAGTTACTATTCAGATGTATACTTATGTTAGCACAATGGGGTCATTTGCTTATTTTAATAATGATTCCATAGTGCTTGATGAACTTCAGATATTAGTTTTATTGAATTCTAAGTTTAGTGACTTCAACTCAGATTTCAAATACTGTTAGGTCGTTGGGAAAGTTATGATGTATTTTTCTATGTCTTTGTAATGTGAAAATGCATCATGACTCTCCCGACGACCCATCATATAGGTCTTCTAAGCATCAAACTAAATCAACAGAAATGTATCTCTAGCCTAATTCTTAAACAGGCAGCCTATCTTGCCAAAGATGGGTTTTTAAATGGGAAGTTATTTCATTTGAAAGTCTAGTTTCACCAAAACATAAAATATGATTTTCATGAATTTGGATAGAAACTTCCAAAATTCAATTCTTTATTGTAATGAAGTTTTCACTCTTCACGCCGTCTTAATACTGATGTTCTTTTACTTACTATGGGGTTACGTCCCAATAAACCCATTGTAAGTCAAAAATATCATTAAGTCAAACCATTGTAGGTTCAGATGCTCCTTGACTTATTTCAGGATAACAATGATGCAAACCTGATCAGCCCATTGTAAAATCTAGAAATCTTCAGTCAAACCATACAAGTCGGGGAATGTGTGTGTATGTGTGCATAACATGTAACAAACTGGTCTATTCACTCCTTGGAAAATGATGTTGAGGCCCTTAGTTAGGATGTATAACTTACAGATTTGAGATAAGACCTTTTATCATTAATTTTAGGTTGTTTAATAATATTTTAACCTAAGGTATTATACCTTAGCTGTTGCCTTTTATTGACTAACAGGCACTTTTAAGTGAAGACTATGAAATTTATTTGTAGTGTCTTGGTGTAAACTAATAAATATCTTTATATCAAAAAAATCAAGTGGTTATACTTAAACAGTTTACTCACCTCTGTGTCTACTTTTAAATAACATAAACTTCAATTATAATATTTTCTGCTTTGGTATGTACAAGTATAGAAATTAAGAGAGATGTTTTTCTTATACTCATAGACTGTAGGAAGAGGCAGAACTCTACTTCTTCAAGCAAAGGTAAAAACCCTAATATGCCTATTTCCAGTGGCCTTTCTTATCCTGCATTGTACACATATAATTCCAGAGTCAAGACAGTTTGCAAAGTGATGGTCTGGTTGATATTTCTGGAAAGAAGTGCTAGCCAATGGAATCACTGAGCACTTCATTTTTGAGTGAAATTACCAAGATCATAAGAAATTCCTATAAAATTATTCATGATGTTTTTATGAGCATGCTAGCTAGTCTTCATGTCTGGGTGGGAATGTAATTTTTGGTTTCATAACTATGTTCTTGAATTAAGAATCTCTAGCAATAATTTGCATTGAGCACAACTTAAGGCTACTGTTTCAAGAATAACATGAGAGGGACCAGCAATTAGCATAATGGCTATGTTGCTGGATTCCCATGTAGTCGACTGCAGTTTGTGTCCCGGACCCAGTGGCTTAAAACTCACACCAGGTGCGTGTGCGTGCCTCCCAAGATCCCGAGAGGAGAATGGAGGAGAAGGGACTGCGGTGTGGCCTTCCCCTCTGGGGGAGTGATTTCTCGCTTTCTGTTTCTATGTCTCTCTCTGTCTGTCTGGCGAGCGCACGTGCCCTATAGCAAAAACGTCTCCAAAAAAAAGAGAATAACATGAGGAAAAATTTCTAAACAGAACATTATTGACAATCAGTTGCTATATCTTTTAAGAATAATTTTTTAAATTTTATTTTTATTTTATTATTATTATTAGAGAGATTTTTGCTATTGGGCATTTATGCTCACTGGAGACATAGAGAGACAGAAAGCAAGAAATCACTCCCCAGGGCAGATGACCACATAGTAATCCCTTCTCTTCCATTCTCCTCTGAGGATCTTGGGCACACACACACATACACACACACACCCAGCGTGAGTTCAAATGAAGCTACTGTGTCTGGGACTCGAATTGTAGTCAACTACAGAGGAGTCCAGCAACATAAACATTATGCCATCTGCTGGTCCCGTTACTATTATTTTTTAGTTTGCTGTAAGGCATGTGTGCTTACCCAAGAGAGACAAAGAGACAGAAAGTGAGAAAGCAAGCTTCTAGGACTTGAACCATGGTTGGCCATGTGGGAGTTCAGCACCTTAACTACCATGCCACCTGTTGGTCCCTGGTTGACTTTCTATTATAAACTTTTTTTTTTTAATGCCAGAAAGCATATGCATTCACCAGAGATAGAGAAAGCACCCTTAATAGGGTGTGTTCACACGACAGTTGCTTTTCTTTCATTTCTCCCTCTTGTCAAGATTTGGGGCATGCATGCACACATACCCAATATGGTTTTCAAGCCACTGGGTCTGGGATTTGAACTGTGGTCTACCGTGTGGGATCCATTTTCCAATAGGCAGTGCTTAACTGTTGCACTATGGGGCCAACCCTGACATTTTTCAAATGAGCATGAAGTTTGATGTTTAAGGAATAAGAAAACCAGGCGGATGTGAAACCTTTAGTAGGAGTGTAAGGGATTTTGCTTTGGGAAGTACAAATTTTAGTATGGTTTATACCACAGTGCCCTGTGTAAGCTCAGTCCATAAATACCTTTCTTTGGTCTTTCAGGAGGATTTCTCGGGCTACGACTTTGAGAACAGATTGCATGTCCGCATCCATGCTGCTCTGGCCTCTCTGAGGGAACTGGTTCCTCAGTGACAGCTCTGGAGTACAGTCTGTCCCTTTCCACCCAGGGTTCGCACTTTAAAATAAAAGCAGAAGACAAAGCTCTTGTGAAGATCTGCTCTTCTTCTGAAAACCACCTGTGCCAGAGACACATTTTCCCAGTTAAGCTGACATATTAAAGATCTCTTTTAAACATATATCTTAAAAGTAATACTGACAAAGATGATGATAATAATAACTAACCACTTGGGGAGAGGGTTAAGTGACCTTGTTCAAACATTTTAGTTTTGTGATTTATTATTTTTAAAATAAAATCAAACTAAATATTCAACCTGTGGTCTTTTAGGAACACCTACCTTCAGCACGTATCTCAATGGGTAACATAAGAGGTAACTGTAAAATTATTAACAATATCATGATATAGCATTTATATTGTGTTTTGAAAAAAATAAAAGCGCTTTCTAGTGTTTTATTTTATCCTCAAAATATTTTTGTGAATAATGTAGCAGAGATATTCTTATTCCTATTTTACAGACAATGAAACTCAGGCACAGAAAGGCTAGATGATTTATCCCAGCTAATTATTCCTGTTATCAGTGGAGCAATGGGTAGAAAGTAGATCTCCTGACCATCAACTGAATATTCTTTTATTGTTAAGAAAAAATACATATTAACAACCAGAATTTGTGTTTTGCTTATTAAAGAAACAAGCGCTTTTCAGCTGAAGTGGTGTCATCAAAAATACTTAACCAGATTGTTCATTGCATATTTCAACATATAATGAATACTTTTTTTTCCCTTTAGCCAAACAAGTAGGAGCAAAGTGAAGATAATTTTACAACCAAAAGTTTAACTGCTTGGCCAATCTACTAGAAAGCCTACTCTAGCTTTTGTAATACCCACACTTGAGGAATTTTTCTTTGTGAAAATTGTCCAATTACCAGCATTGGGAAACCTTTTAACAAATTACTAGAGAAGATTATTCTTGAATGAATGTAGGTTTTTACTGAAAATATCTGATGGTAAAGCATATGCTGGGCTATATATTGCCAGGATTGAATTATTTTCCCATTAACTCAGGTTATTAGATATTATAAAATGAATTCAAAAGTTGTTTTTTAATTCATTTTGCTAATTCCTTTTTTCTAATTTTATTCTCACTTAATGTACCTTCATGCCCAGTACTACGCCCCTGTAGTTTTGAAGAATCTAAATACCTCGATTACTTTTAAGAATCTCTGCCACAATTTGGCTAAATCTTAAGGTTAGATTTTTTAAAAATTCATATTAATCTAAAGGGTATCTTTTTAGAGGATCATTTATTTACCTATCCTTTTGACTGAAGCATGATGTCATTATTTTATTATTTCTTTTCTAAATAAAACATGGGGAAAGCAGCTACAATATTGGAAAATTTAATCTGACTTAATTTCATTTTGAGGAAATGACAATTCCTTTGAAAGGAATTATTATTATTCCTCAGGGACTTTGGCTAAACTGCTCATGTTTCGTCACACATGTTACTGCTCACTTTTTAGTGAACTGTTTCTAAAGTGTTTATTCACATGGATTTTTTTTTTCCTGATGTGAATCTATGTGGGTTTTAGAAAGAGAGAAAAGATTGCTATCCTTTGTTTAGTAAATGAGCACATACAGGAGCCAAAAAAAGAAAATTTTTCTGAAGAGAAAAGTTAGTGTCCAAAAATATCCAATATGTGATTTTATCTGGACTGAAAGAAAGAACATTATGATCTTTAAAATACAGCTAGTGCCATTTTGTCCTTTTCTTAATCTATAGATATGTGGCAAACTTGTTTGTTACAATTGTGAAGTATTCTGAGTCATGAAGTTCTTGCTTTAGAATTCATTCTCACTTGAATTTTTAGTTCACAGATTCAAAATAGTATTCCATATTCAAAGATTATATATAGCCTTGTGTATTCAAATTTTAAAAATTATTTCTGTATTAACTGCTTTAAAAGTTAGTTCTGTTTTCCCATAGAGATTGCTGGGTTTCAGATGAGTTTGAGTTCTGTTCACTTAACCAGATAGCCAACTTAAGAATTCCACCTGGTGGTTTTTTTTTTTTTTTTAGTCAAAACATAGTTCTATTTAAAAATAGTTCCTCCTAGGTGCCAGCAGGTGGCGTGGTGGTTAAGGTGCTGGCCTTCCATATTGCTGACCACAGTTTGAGTTTGGGACCTGGAGGCTTGAAATTCACGCTGAGCGCATGTCCATGCATGCCCAGAATCCCAAGAGGAGAGTGGAGGAGAAGGGACTACAGCATGGCCATTCTCCTGGGGGGTGATTTCTCACTTTTCCTCACTCTCTCTCTGGTGAGTGCATGTGCACTATTGCAAAAATCTAAAGAAAGCAAAACAAAACAAAAACCCAGTTTCTCCTAGTTTGGTGCAGATAGCCCCTGAGGTACATCTGTGTTAATATGGCTGTGCACTGTATGGAGGTTGGGTAGATGGAGAGTCTCAAGACTTCGGAATAATAAAACCACAGTGTGAGTATACTGCACCATGAGTCTGAAATCTGAGTACATTTTCATTTGAGTTAATTCCTATCAGTTATCTGGCCTCATCCAGTTATCTGCGACTCATCCAACCTGTGAACCATGATCTGCCTGGGAATGTGGTTTGGTATAAACTTATCTTTACCCCTTGCTGATGAAGAAAATAATCATATAAGAAGAACTATTTACATCTACATGTGCTTCTAGTTTTTTTTTAATAATTTTTTAAAATTTTATTTTAATTTGACCAGAGAGGGACAGAAAAAGAGAGATGGAAAGTGCGAAAGTAAGCCATCAGATCCAGGACTTAAACTGTGGTCGGCCACGTGGGAGTCCAGCACCCTTAACCACCA